TCGAAACCCCAATTCTCCGGAATTATTAAGCTAAACGAAAAATGTAGCACTGGAAAATTTCGTGGTGAAAAATTTGAATTCTTGATTGGAATTTAATTCAAACTCCTATAATTGAATTCATAAATGAATATTCAACATTTTTACTTACTCATTGTTTACCAGTTATTGGTGGAAGTTTAAATAAAAATTAGCACTAGAATAAAAAAAATTCTCAATAATTAATTACCACTTTTCCAAGTATTTGGAACCGATTGATCTATTCGAAATTGAAATGAAACATAATAAAAATAAAATAGGAATTCATCCGTAAATGCTAATTTCCGCTGTGGCCACGGGAAATTCAATAAATTCTCAATAGACGGTCTACATTTCAGTGGAATGACTACAATATCACGACATCTTGAATTCCTTTCGTCAAATTTGTCGACGTCCCACACGTCAATCCACATCCAACGGAAACTTAGTTTTGTTATACATCACAATACGCCGAGTGATTCATATCTGGATATTCTATAAATATATTTCACTCAACAGTGCTAAATGAGTCGCAATAAAAAGTCACATATAATCCAGTTGGGTGGTGAGCATTAAAATCCGTCGTGATCCAACTTTTTGGAACGTCTTACGTCGTTACAGCGGGTGTATTTCGCCGAGGGATTTACTGACATCGAAATTCTCTCACTTGAATTATGAATTGCAAATGACAATAACTCATGATTCAACTATTAAAAACTCGGCTAATTGCCAATGATTAATCAATTGAGTGGCTCACTGCTTTCTTAATTGAGTCATTAGATAATCGATCTTAAAATCAGTCAATTAAAACAACAAGAAATACTATTCCATAGAATTATTTTTGAACTATAACTATAATTTCTCAATAAATGCCATAAGAATGACAGATAATTATTTACTAATTATCAAGTGTCTTATCTCCTTGGGTTTATCTAGTTATCATAAGTTTGAGGAAGATCTCCCCATGACAACAACTTGACAGCTGTATTTTTCAGAAATATGTATATTCTGAGGATAATCATGCCGTGGGCGAGAGGTTTACCCACAAAGTTGTGCTCTAAGATGTGTAAAACTGGGATTATAATGAAAAACCAGTGGGAACAATGGGCAAAAGGAGAAAAGCTTGATTATGCACGTGGCCATGATGGCTGCACCACAATGCCCCGACAATTAGAGATGCAAATGATGACTGGGGTGGAACAAAATCTCCTGACAGTCTTGCGAGAAGTTTTCTCCTAAAATGCGAGAGGAAAAAATGTGTTAATACCCGTGGAGAGCCATTAGTGAAGTACAGAAGTAAAAAGTCGTGGAGGAGAGCAGAAATAGTTCGTGAAGATGTCGCAAAAAAAAAATGTCGGATATCTTGTGATTCATGGGGGTCGTATATTCTTAATATCTTTGGAAAAGGGATAAGTGGACGGTTTGGAGACAAAATATCTCGTCAAAACTTAGGCTTTATGAGATTCCAGCATTGGAGGGTATAAAAAGAATCATTTTTGTGGTTTACATATCGCATGGGAACGAGAATCATTTGGAGAATTCAATACAGCGAAAAAAAATTTCTCCGCTAAATTTTTTCTACATCTGTGAATAAAATGGAGAGAAGGCCAATTAATAATTTTTGTCACTACTATGTATATAATTAATTAATTGATTAAATGAATATTTAAAATTATGAGATTTTTCTTGCGCACTTTGTTTTTTCATTTGAAACATTGAATTTAATTCACGTCAATTAGACTTTTCAATTCAGCCAATAATGTGTTTTTCTACGAAAGGCTGAATGTTCATGCCGATCGTGAAAATTAAACATAGAATTAACTCCTCAATAAATAATTCAGGTAAATTATTGTTTGAATTTTCGATATCAAGATTAATCAAAAATTAAGATAGGATACTAAATTCCCATTTTTAACGCTGAAAAATCTTCAATTTTTATGTTGTATCGTAGGAAGGAATGAAAGTTTTGTGGTGTATTGATTTCTCGGTAAAATGTAGAATTTGTTCAAGTGTTAGCTCGAAAATTGAATGAACGTGTATCCAATGGAGAGTCGACTTCCGGTTCTTGATACGAATCAACCAATCGCCGGACATCGTGGATTGAGCCATCACAGCTCGTTGTGCATCTTCACAATAGTCCTCAATAATGAATTCTAAATTCCACTCTGGAATCAACAAGGAGGAAGCAGCCAGAGTTATTGAGCAATACTTTTACTTGAATTCTCACTATTTGACTGCTGCATCGTTCGTGCGCGGATGTGGAGAATTGACAGAAGTCGATTTAAATTCCACTGGCTGTTTGACATTCCGTGATAAAATATGTTTAGGGTAATGAAGGATTAGAGATTCTGGGTATGTGACTTCCGTTATCGATGGGAGAGGGTCCGCACCGGAAGTGCATTGAACATCGGAAAGGATTAGACAGTTTTTTTTACCGTTGTTCTCAGAGGAGGGGAATTGTCGCTCAATTAAAAATTTCAAACACTTATTTCACGTCTAAGATTTTTACGGATCGAAAAAATGATTTAATTATTCCTCACGCATTATTTGGTAATTTCTTAGGCTGAGGAAAAGGCGTAAGAAATTTTTTTAATTATATGATTTCATTTTAGGAGAGTTCAATTTAAATTAAAAACAGTTACTAAGTTCCGAATTATAATTGAGGGAAATTATTGTTTAAATTTTCAACGTTTTCTCGATTTCTCAATGCCATGTAGACCACAAAATGGGGTGAGCAAAAAATAAATGATAAAAACGGAACGCAGTAAAATGACAGAAAAACTGAATTAGGGCGTTTTTAGAAAGAAGAAAACAATTATCGGGTGTGGTGAGTTTTTTATAACAAAAAGTTTTTCCCTGAGTGTATTATAATGGCACGATGAATTTCTCTTCGTGAACAGTTCTCACTATCAACTAGAGACAAAATCATCAACACCGCAGTATCATTCCGAGAATATTAAATTCCCTCCTATCCATAACTGTGCGGAAGAAGGAAGAGTAAATTCAAAACTCGGATCACGTATGAGAGTTTTACCAGCGATCCGATTATCTACCGGAAGTATCATGGTAATCCAGTGTACGCGCCATCTAAGGATGTACGTTGATTTCGTAACAGTTTGATCCATTGAATCTAAAGTACATCTGACATTTCACCAATATGCACTCGCGTATCAACTCCATACGCAAGACGTAAAAAAATAATAATTGTCGTCGATCTTTCGGTTCTCTTTTATATAATTCACGTGATAAATCTTGGAGATCCAAACTTCAGCTGATTGTCAATGCTCATTCTCATTGTTGATGCCTGATACATTTTCCAACGTCTCAAAGTAGAAAAACTTCTCTCGTTAGTGCAAGTTTAATTTAATATTGTCAATATGTCAGTTTGATGAATTTTAAATCTTCGGGGACTAATCCTGGACAATTATCTTTGACGGAGAGCAGTACTTCTTAGAAGGTATGAAATATTGTACATCCAAATTCCTAGGTGTGACAGAAACCATCCGCATCATACACCTCTCGTCGGCCCATGGGAGTCCGAGGTGTAAACAAAATTCTCGAAAATTCAATTCACGATTTTTCTTCAACATTCAGCCGGATGTATTGCCTCGTCTGCTTGGAGCAGCGGGACGAAACTCTTGTGGATGTGTATACGTGAAAAACACGTGGCACGATGTGAGCTATGGCACACGTTTCGACTTCCCTCTGAGGAGCTGGGGACTACTTCAGTTGCAGTTGTGAGTTGAAATGAGAGAGGGAATCGGAGAAAGGAGTGAGACCGGAAGCGTCAAGGTTTATAAACCCATGGGGAGCACGTGCAACTGGTTTATGGGGATAGGAACCTGCTACTATTTCTGGTGGGGCTAGTAAAATCTTAAGGATATTTCAACAATTTTAACTGCGTACCCCATAAAAAAATTTTCATTTTTATAACACATAATATTGCCCAATTCTCCATAACGTTTCGATTTAAATAACCCCGGAACGAATATTTTCTTTCTCAATTTAAAATTCATAAATCGGCGATATAAATATATATATATTTTTGAAAATTGAAAGTTTCTGTTCTTTCAGTGCGAAATAAATGTCGGAAAATATTCTGTCATTATTCGGAGGTTAACAAACAAAACCGGTGGTAAATGTTCAAAAATATTTCTGGAGAGGGAAAAAGCGACATTTTTCCTTCAAGAATTTATGGGGGATCGTCTATTCACTCAATCTTATCTTGTTCTTTCGTAAAAAATTAGTAAATCACTGCGGGTGATGCTGGTGATTTTGGATTCGTGGGAAAATTGGAAGAGTGAAATAACATGGGACAGTAGTGGGTCACAATAAGTGCCTCTGGGACGTGTGCCACTTGGTAATACCCGGGGATTAGTTTAGTGAGGGGTTTAGCCACTCATGAGGGTCCATCATTGAATCCAATGTGCCAACATAATCGAGCATTGTACAGATACAACTTCTCCCTCCATTCTTCAAAAAATTCTACTATGACAGAACAAACCGTATTCGAACCACTGTACATATTTTTCATTTACTATTTAAAAATTCCCGTTTATTGTTAATTATCGTGGCATTCGACGTAATTTATGGGCATATATTACATACCATTTTTATCTCAACAAGGATTTGATCAGCAGTTACTTCCTCGAATATATTTCGATATATAATCTATTTAATATTTATGAATAAATAATGGACTTCACTAAATTTGAAAAAAAAAAAAACGTAAGAACAACTGGTCTATTTTTCTATTAATACAGCAAGAATAAATAAAAAAATTATAAATGAAAAAATACTTTTTCGATTAGTCATCAGCGATAGAAAAATTTCCGTCGCATGAGATAAATTTTCCAGTCATTTTACCGAAAAATAAATTGTAAATGTTTTAGACAATTACCTTGCAGTCGCTGTCCCCTACAAATTCCACCAATCATGAAAGAATGTTGCTTAAAGTAAACGAATAATTGAATGATTGCACTGACCTTCTTTGAAGCTTTTATGTTTCCTGCATCTTCTGGCTCTGGTGGGCTGTCTGCCGTCGACCTGATCAGTAGGAATAGGTGGTGCAAAGCCCTCAGGTTCCTTGATGAACCCCTCGGTCTGGATGATGGCCCTCTTGGGGATGCCCTCCTCCTCGAGAAAGGTGCCAATAGAGTGTCTGCGAATTCCGGAGGAGCCAGGAGCTGGCAGAGTGGCAGATAAATTGTAGTACCTGGCATCATCGATCCCGAGGAATACCTCACCCTCCTCATCCTGGCCCCTGGAGGTGTCACCAGGAAGTCCATAGAAAACCATGTCATTTGACAACAATTCGCTCGCCGATTTGAGAATTCTCCGCCGATGGGGCCGCCTCCTGTCATGATCCGAATGGGAATGCGATCTGTGTGGCAGATGTGGTGATGGCGGGGCGATATCTGTTGGCCTCGGTTCACCTTTTAGTATCTGTAGGGTTTCATTATCCGTGTGTGCACTCATCGACCTCGATAAATTTCGAAAACTTCTCCGTTGACTGCTGGAGTTCATTGATCGGGACAACATCGGCTGGGACTCATCCACCGATTCGATACTCCTGTTGCTCTCGTGATGTGTCATTGTACTGCCAGTGGAATTTGACATCACCGATGCCGATGACACTGAGCCCATTTTATTCTGACGCTTCCGGAAAAAGGCAGCGAAACCTCGGCTGCTGGACACCCCGGAATTACCTGGGGCACCCGATGATGGCAGCGAACCTCCCGACAGCGAAAAATAGGACGGATTGTCTGTGAACATCGAACGCTCTCGTCACTTCTCACTTGTCATCGTCATTTCCCATAAAAATTACGGAATCGGCAATCGAGGATATCGGGATTTTGTAAATAATTGCACTATTAAAAAATTGTTGTTGAAGATCCACACAATCAAGAGTCTGCAGGGTTTATCACATTTTTATAATGAAGGATGAAAAAATCAATTATCATGATTTGATTGAATTTAAATTATTTTTGGTGATTGAATGATCGATTAATTAGAAGATGGATATGGGGAATGTCGGGAATGATCTTGGATTGGGGTAAATTGAAATGAAATGAAATTTCAAAGAGTGCAGGGGGTATTTTTGTGGGTGCGGGTGGACTGAAGTCACCGGAGGGCCAACGTGGACTAGTGATGGGCTTCATCGAAGGGTCTTGGATAGTCTGTTGTAGTTATGGGGGTATGTAATGCTGCGGGGAATACGGGATGAGATGAAGAGGTGGGGATGACACCGGACGCTGCATTTCCCATCCCCCCGGTGTCCCCCTTTCTAATTCTTGGCTTTGGGGATGGGGAACGCATAGGCACCACCCGGGTGACGACACCCGATGAAATTTGATGACAGATTTTCGGGGGCTCCGATCTCTTCGAGTTTGAATTATTGAAAAATTCATAAAAAATTTATTCACCCGGATTCCAAGGATTTTTCATAATATATCATGTGTGAAAAATTTTTTGTCAAAATTATAGAAATTTTTTGGTAATAATCTTCAGGATTTATTGGGAAATTTTATTATAAATGTTTGAAAATGAAGTTTTTACTCAATTATTTAATGAACAAATGCAAGTGCAAGTGCTGGAATTTCGAATTGATTAAAAATAATTATAACTCGATATTGAATGCACATTTTTTTATTTGAAATTCAGCAAAGTCAAGGAATTTTGTTCCTGCAATAAAAAAATTAGTAATTTCATTGGATTCTCATTGAAATTGTAAATTTCACGATTCGTTTCTCCTTGAATTCTAAATCGAATTCAACGTCACTCCTAAAAATTCCTAGGGAATTGTCCGTGGAATTTCAATGTTTTTCCACTTAACTACTCTGTCCTCCGAATGATCACCTACTTGAGTAAAAAGAGTATTGTAATTTCCATAAATCGAAGGAATGGATTCTCAGAGGGATCGAGAAACGTTCTCATTTTATCAAATGAAAATAGATATATGCCGAATGCATAACGGAGAACATGGAAAAATTCAAGAAGAGATTCAACAGGTAGTGTACACAGTAGCCAATCGATGAAGATGGGACGGGTCCTCACACTCCTCTCTTTTTATCGGCCTGAGCGTGATCGGCATTTATATCAAAGTTTTTTTATCCAATCAGAAATACGTGGGTGAGAATTTGAACCGCTGGGGAATCTCAACTTACCGAGTGCCATTATGATGTTAGCAGCTCAAAGATGATCCCTCCTGCAACAAAAAAAAAGACCGGCATCAATAAAATGAAAATTCGACAATAATTTCATGTCTCTTTCAATAGAATCCTAGAAATTTTCAGTAATTTCAAATTTCTTTCACAAGCACTTTCATCAGAGAATAATTCATTATTTCGGCTTGTACTTCACAAATATTTCCAATTTTTTTGTGTTCAAATGGTCCGGAAAATAATTACATATTGATTTTACAATTCAATTTTTCTGTGAAAATTTTGGAAATCGGGGAAACTCAGGGAAAATTGAAGAAATGTCAGTTTTTTTCTGAAGTTGAATTTTATCTCAATTTCTGCATAAATTTATAAGTTTTATTGATAAAAAAATTTTAAACAGTGCACTTAAATTTTAAATGAAATTGCTCAATAAAAATAAAGTAGAACATAAAATCAAAATCAAATCCATCAGGTATATAAAAAAAAGAAACTTATGCGTCAATATATGAATCTGAATTTATGACGCATCCGCATTCCGTTTTCCGATCGTAATTCTCCATTACCTCGATTGCAATTAATGGCTCAATATTTTTCTCTGTGCAACTGATGTGTAGTTTGTTACAACAATAAATTATTGAACGGCCACTGACTCTTTGCGAGGGTAAATACTTTTTTTTCGTTCAATTGTTCAGAGGGTGTTTCACAAGTCGTACAACGTGACGAATTCTATCCGGGAATGTCTCAATAACTAGTGGAATTGGCAAAGGGTTATCTGGCTAGGCGATTCATCGGATCTTTCATTCATATCTGGAAATAGAATCTTGATATTAAATTTAGCTGGACTCAAGAGAGTGTCGCAGGGGCTCTGGCATGCACATCTAGATTTGATCTAGTCCATTCACGTTTGGCAGCATTCACTGTTTTCTCTGTTTTCATTTATCCATTCATTTTTGGGATTGACCTCTTCACTATTCACTATTTTCTCCAATTACAATCACCAATGTAGAGAAATTTTGAATATTTTTGTTCAATTCATTTAAATCCCCAGAATTTGGATATCATTCATAATATTTTTAGTTGTATTAAATTTTAAACATGTCATTGCTTTTTTGAAATTTACATAAAGTTTATCTGGATTTTTTAACTAAAAAATCAGATGATTTCTTTGAATATTCAGCGCACTTATAATTTCTCGGTGGATGCAATAACTCGAATTAGTGAAAGTCGAAAGATATATTATTATTTAACATTAAAACTCCAATTTTCTGAAATTTTCAAGATAAATGATAAATTTATGGACAGCTTTTAATTGAGATTGAATTGAAACTCGTAGAATGGAGAATTTAGATGACTGTCACTGAAATTTCAAGGAATTTTTAATAGTGTACGTAAAAAGACACGAAGGTTAACTCTTCCCCTTCAAATGAAGAAACATGTAAATTTGAAGCGTTGCACCTAGTGTTCCTCGAATTGTCGGGTGCGTTAAAGAATGTGAGTTTGTGCTGGCCGATGAAAGGACAGAGAACCGCCAACCGCTATTTTTGTATCTAAACATTCTGTCTCTCTTCACCTCACCTCGTGCAGAATTTAATCGCTCTCATGAATGCAAATTATTTTTAGGGATTGCGATTCCCCATTTAGGGAAATCCAATTAATCCGCGGTACAGATTTCCGCATAGAAAAATGCTTTTTTTTTAATGGAACACGGGCTCCGGGTATTTCCCAATTTATGTATAAAAAAAATATAAATAATCGAATCTGTAATGTTTATTAGGTGAAATGCCAGATCGATTTTTAATTTCTTCTTTAGTAAGATTTATAATAGGGGTGGGCCAATATTTTGGGACCCTGCCGGAAATTGGGTCCCATATCCTCTGTAATGCATGTGTTAAAAAAAATGTGGCATATATTTTTCATACGGAAAAAAAAATATTTTTCAATATGTTGAATTGAAGAAAAATATATTATTGAAAATTTAATATTGGAATGAATGAAAAAATTCTAGACGTTATAATTATTACGATTATTATTTCAATTTTCTATAAATGACTGATTTTTATGGAATTCTGGTTTCTTCTTTGAGATTTTACTGACGATAAAATTGAACTCTTCTGGGTTTTTTTCAGAGGATTCCACAATTTGTATCAGAATTTCAACTAAAAAATAATCATACAAATGCCTGAAAATTTTAAAATATCTCGTTCCACGTCCTTCTCCTTTCCAAGAATAACCCACTAATCAGAATTCCTTAATTAAGAAAAAAATCGTCCACCTGGTGTTAGCCCAACTGTTCTGAAAACGAGCTCATGGACGTTGACATTAAAAGTCCATAAAAAATCAGGATAGTGCCTTAAAGAAATTGAAAAAAATGTATACATCATCTGTCAAGAAAGGTAAAACCAGATGTGTCCCCGGGATTTTTCCTCAAATTTTCCATGTGTTGTTGAAAATATTGAGCACGTGCGAGCAATCGTGCCGTCCCCTCGAACGGATGCTGAGGGACGAAAATGTCCGCTGGGGAAGAGACCGGGGTGGAGAGGAGGAAATTTCCTGACATCCGGAGGTGAAGTGACTGGAGGGTCCCACCGGTGCAGAACTCGTTGAAGTGAATTGTGTATGAAAGGTACACCTGCACTCCCACCTACAAGTGCACCACGCCAACTTCCGGTGCAACGCGTGCCCTTATTATGACTTTTTATGCGCACGCGTTATGCCCCCGTGACTTCCTTGCGATACTTGAACCTAAACCGATATCAAGCTATCCTGTTGAATAATTACACTTGAAATTTCACCTAGAAAAATTGAAAACTTCGAACAACGACAAAATATCATGGCATCTTAATTAATCCTTCATGGTCACTGATAAATTAATGTCATTACTAATCAATGTCCTAAATATTTAATTATGAACGTTGAATTTTTACAATGACATAAAAATTTCAGTATGAATTTCAAAATAAATCATTTTTATGAATATCAAATTTTACAAATTAAACGTGAAATGATTTAATGAATATTTTGAATTGTAATTAAATTCAAACTTGTATAATCGATAGTACTGGGGACTTTAAAGTGAAATTTCAAGGAATTTTTAATAGTGCAGGCTCATTAGAATTATTCTTCACAAGGAGAGGTCTCTTCCGAGATCAGTCTGTAGATGATATCTCGAAATCGGGAGAAGATAATGATATATTTGTAAATATATTTTGTATAAAGAAAGATGAGCGCTATCAAAAGGTATTCATGAAAATATAATTATCTTGCTTTAGTTGTGAGATATTTGCGAATAACTGGCCACGAAAAAAACGTCACTTAAAGTACACCCTGTTACAGTAATTACAGTAATAGTAAAAGTTGGAGAAATTATTATGAGTAAACAATACACTAAAAAGTTATCATAAAAAGGTAATTATCACGACCAAAAGAGATTGAAATAAAAAATTGAAACTTGGAAAATGTTTGAAATAAAAATATGGCAAGTGCGAGTCTAACAAATCGTGTCGCCTCCTCCCCCGAAGTTGACGTAATTAACCGAAGCAGTTGAAAATTGTGTAATCCCCTAACTCATTTTACCCAATTGAGTTATCCAATTCAATGATCAATTGACACATAAGACCTGCTCCTGATGGCCCCACGCGAATCTCGTCAAATTCCCCAGAATTTTTCCTTCAACTGCCGGATTCCTCTTGCGCAATAATCCAAACGATTAGATATGAGTACAACGAGTTGATCCATTAAACGAAGAGAAGAAGCCTTGGCTCCTCCTGGCACCGACAAATGCGATAACAATTGAAAATTTCCCCCCAGTTGTCACTATTGTCTCCACTCGCTCCCCAGCAAACACGAGATAAAGTCTCACAGCTCATTCCCAATGTTTATTCAAAACTCACATTTTGTGTTTAACATTTTTTTTTTTCTCCCATTTTCTTGCCAGAACCCTCTTGCATTGGTAAAGCGTCTGGTTACGTTCGGCTGTCAGTTTTGGGCTATTAATACTCAGAGTGCGAGAGGCCTTGCGCTCTCACGTTCCTCCAATACAAATTCACATTAAAGTCCGAGTTTCAACACTAATCAATTTTATTCTAATAAAATCCCTCATTATAATTATTCATTTTCTTTCATATAGGTTTTTTTCTTATTTCAAGTCTATAGATGTACACGCGAGCAAAAAAAAATTGTACTTGCGATCAAGTATATTTTATACTTAATCCGAGTTTATTCATAATTTTTATTTTAATATTGAATATTACCTCAATGTGTCATCGATATTCATCAAAAATTGAGTATACTAGGATCAAGTATATAATATTTATTTTAAGAATACCGTATATACTTGGTTCAAGTATTTTTTCCCGTGTATGCGTGCGCTATAATATCCTCGTGAAAAAATATATCTGTAAAAGGCAGTCATGCATTGGAATGATAAATCTATCGAATAAAATCCCATGAAAAAATTTTTCACTCCCAGAAATTTATTGAGATTGCCCGTCACGCTTATCTGGATTTCTAATTATGAGGATTTAATTTTAATTTCAATTAAAAACGCTCATTAAATTTCCCATTTTTTACATCTATTTACCTATGCCATCCATTTTCCCATTTTTACAAGATTTTATAGAATTCTCGTTTCTACGATTCTCATGCTGATGGAAATTCAAAGAAATCTGTAATTTTTCAAAACGAATAATTCATAATTATAGTCAGCATTGAGGTGTCAATAACCATTCACCACGAAAACCATGAATTTTATTGAATTTTCGATATGAATTATAAGTTCCATGAACGATGTAATTTTATTTTCAATTAGCTCCCAAATACTGGGAATTCAAGGGCAATTATAACTGAATATAATTTGTAAAAAATCCATTTAAATACGCATTCCATGTTTTAAATGAAAAATTCTCATTTCAAATGATTCCCTAGACCAAAAATGGTAAATTTGGCGGGTGAATTGGACTGAAACAGCGTGCGCACTATGAAAAAAATTTTCCTGAATTTTCTCTGTCTTCTCTAAAACCCCGAAACCAGAGTCCAAACACCCTCCGATAATAAACCCCTAAAAATTCACCTGAAAAAATGGCTATGTAGTTTTCCCCATGTAATTCCCGTGTAATTTTCGTGAGTACTCGGCAGAAAAATCCGTGAGGTCCTGGAAGATTCATTGGGACTTATCGCAAAAATGACGAGGGCGGTTGTAAAATAGTCCAATTTCACAAAAAGCCCTTATAAAACAGAAACTCACCTGTCGTTTGCACACCCCGTTGTGACCCCTGGCATTTCCTTGGTGATATTCCTAAGGAACTAGTGCGCAGAACACATTCTCGACACGAAATAACTCGTAACTATGAGCTGTGCAGTGACAATACGACTAGAGATGGGACAATTTTATTTAGTTAGTATGTAATTTATTTGCACAGTGCAGTAGCGGCACACACGTCGGCGCACACTGAACAACACTGAGTAAACTGACAGACGGAAGAAGGAAAGGAAGCCGAAAGGGAGAGAGCCCCAGCATGTGAGCGTGTTTCTCTTTTCCTCCTGTTTAGGTCTTTCTTTTGGTACCTCTACTTGTTCTTCTTCTTGGCTCTCCCTCTTGGTTGAGCTAACGAGCTGAGGAGAGAGGGGAACTCAGAATAAACTCACGCCGTAGCCCCTCACCGTGTGCCCACCCATTCACCCACGCCATTCCCATCTAACCATCTAACCATCTACCCAAATTCACTGACTCTACTAGCAAAACTACGCACTAATCACGAATTTTATCACATCCCAATATACATAATCCAAAAATTATAAATGAAATATCACGTTTCGACGAAATTCTATATTAGTATTATTACTATATTTTTATCTGACTTAAATTTTCAATCGAGATATAGCCGAATATTGTTATATCTGAATTATATTAGAATATAATTGATGTATATTTTTATTTAAATTAATGTAGTAGCAGTTGACACTGTCGAATCACTTTGAAATAGATCTAGTTTGGAATTCACAGGAATTTATGTAGACTCGCAGTGAACTCCGCAAACATTAGCAGAATTGTTCACTGAAGGAATTTCCAGAATCAACAAAGTTTGAGGATGACCAGAGCTGAGGATCACATGCTCATCGGTTGAAGATTTCTGAGGAGCAGTCGGACCCAAATGCATTGTCCCCTGGTGTCTGTCAAACACGTGTCTCAGACATGTGTTTGCAATGAGGGCGAGCCGCACAACAAACCTTCGCCTTGGCGCCCACCAAAACTGCATCCCATCAGGAATGTCATTTTCTGCTGATTTTTCAAAAATCCACAAAGAAAAATATCATATGAAAATACATTCCTTGTGAAAAAAATTTAAAAATTGAAAGATCAATGAAACTAAAAAATAACATGATTTTTTCTCCCCTAGGAAAAAATTGAAAAAATTTCTTCAAGAGTCGCGCATTAAGTAATTTTTTAAAATTTAATCCTGAATTCCATGAGACAGAGTCCCTCGATTGTACTAACAATCTTACCTTCTTGAAATAAATTCGTTTTGTTATGAATTAAACTATTAATATGACTCGCTTGATTTTTTTAAGGATTTTTTGCTTGAATTTAGTGACAGCTCAATTATTTTAATGAAATAGGTCGTTAAATCGAGAGGTTTCGGAGTAGAGATTTTCTGGAGCGATCTCATTTCTCAGTGAAATCATTGAATTAATTGATTCTATTCTTCCCTGGGGCAAAAAGGGATTGAATCGATCGTGAAACCGTCCACCCCAATACAAAAGGGAGAAGTCCCTGTCCTCAATACTATTGAATGCTAATTAACCCGCAGTCCCAGCCAACAATTAATCCGCTCAAGGACAACCCTAATCATCTCATCAATACAATACAAATACAAATTAATGAAACCAAATGGAATCACGTTTTTCCTCCAACTCAATAAAAATTCATCCATTTAGAATTATTTAAAATTAAAATAAGAAATTTTTCTGTTTGATTTCGGTGAATTATTTATTTAATACGCGTAAAATATTATTTTTGAAAAAACATGAATAACTGTTTTTATTTTTTATTTATTTTTTAATCATTGTATTCAACAAGATTTTTTAAATGAATGAAAAAAATTCAAATAAAACATTTTTTGAGTTTCGAAAATCCAAATATTCTCAAAACATGAAATATTACCTTCTTTTATTATAATTACCGGTAATATTACTGGCAATAATCACTAAAAAAAAACGAAGAAAATTAATTGACTTTCCCTGAAAATAAAAAAACGTGTTCTTCACAATTTTCCATAAAAAAATTCCTTCAATTCTATCCTTCAAGAACCTCCCCAGCCCTTCTACATTGGACTGACCAATAAAATCACCCCACCCTGGATTATCAAAAAAAAAATCGATAATTTATCGACTCCCCGCCAAATGCTACAGTGATGGCCATCACCGGGAGATGTCGCATCAGGACCCGCGGTATTTAAAAATTACCCGAAACCATTGAGCCCTACTTTGGAAAAAGCCCTGCGGCTCCTGATCCCCTGACCCTCCTGACCTTAGATACCCGAAGAATCCCCGGAAAATTGCCCCACCGAATGGAACACGAGAGCATTCCAATTACCGTTTCAATAGCCTGCGACCGTCGGTTGCATCGACCTTCCACGGCCAATTGCCCGTCGATTCCACAATTCTCCCCCACCAGGTCCTCCCGCTCCACTCTCCCATCTACAGTATGTTTTATTATTTCTAAAAAGTATCCCGACGATAACAAGTGACCGAGTTCTCCAGGTCCCAAGGTCTCCACGACCGCAAGTGAAAGTCACGTGTCATCAGTAATCTCCACATACCAGAAGTAAAATATTCGGTGAAAATCTCCAAGACAATAGTGGAAAAAAACCATCGCAGCCTCCCCTTCATTACTCTCATGACGTAGTGAATGTGTATGAAGACTTGGTACTGCGCAACTACAGGATTTAACGACTGACCAGGAGTGCGCGAGCGCGGGACCACGGATTTCCCGGGGAATAGGGACTTTCCGGGCCTCGGAGCGGCTTTTTGTCATCATTCCCGTCAACACTACCGACTTATACGTGCGCTCCGGCAACAGGTGAAAAACAATCGTGATTATCAACGTAATTAACTGAAATAATTTTGACAATTTTCAACTTGGAGGAGCCAACAAGTGGTCAATACAAAAATACCAGTACTCAATTGCAGTTCAATTTACAAATTACTGCTCTTGATATTTTTTTATCTCGAGGTTTACAACTAAAATGAGTGTTGAGGATGCTATTAACTATAAGCGGAGCGGCGATGAGGACTTTTATGCCCTCCTGGGGTGCGACGAGTCCTCCAGTGTGAGTAGCTGTTTTTTTTCGTTTTTTTATTTCGTTTTTTTATTTCGTTTTGATATGACGATTTTTGACGTCAACACAAGTCCCAAGGCCTCGCTGTTGGGTACTTTTGTAATTTACACGAATTATTGCATGGGTATGTCAGTGGTTTTCCATCTCTTGAATTTTCAAGGGAATTCGGGGCAAGGATCTGCTGATCGTATTCTAACGTTTCTCAAATTTTATGATTATTTGTTCCAATAATTTAATTGTCATTGTTTCTATTTTTCATTCAGTGGTAATTATAATTGAAAAGGAATTTTATGGATACGGGTCGTTTTGAGAAAGGCGGTTACATTTGAATTCTTTACCTCGTAACTATTAGTCAACAGCGAGGAAGCATGGAGTTATAAATTAATTTAGTTAATGAGTAAAGTTTTGAGAAATATCTCAGGATTTTATTTTCTATTCGTTCTAAATCCTTTTTTCTCTAATAAATTCAATTTAAGATGAAATCGAAAATTGCGTTCTTCATGGACACTGATAATTGATACATCAAAATTTTATTGAATTTCGAAAAAATTCGAAAATCAAGGATTACGAAAAATAATGACATTGTGCCGATTTTTAATAATTTTCGTTCATGTCTCGGTAAATGCAAAGGTCTTTGAAAATCCAAGACATCACCAGCTTTTTGGGCGGAACTCGGAGATGAATATTGTAAATGGATCGTTGTTAAAAATTGAAATGTTTGTCACTGAAAATTTTGAAATTTTCAAAGTGAAAGAGTAATTTTCAAACAGTGCCTTTGCGGATTTCAAGTAACGAGCGTTAATTGCTATTAATGCGATTGGATTGTCCTCAAGGTTGAGCAAATAACGGCTGAGTACAAAACGTTGGCGCTCCAGTACCATCCGGACAAGAACGAGGGTAACAAGGAGGCAGAGGCCAAATTTCAGCAGCTCAAGGTAATGAGTTTTTATGTAATGACGAGGCTCGGGGATAGTCGTTAATTTCAGGGAATTGATCTTTATGACTGGGTTTATTTTAATCACAGAACGCTAAGGAGATACTCTGTGACCCGGAGAAGAGGAGTAACTACGATAAATGGCGACGCAGTGGGGTTGCTATAAGTTACAAGCAGTGGGTCAGCATGAATGAGCATGTACATCAGGTTACTATTCAATACATATCAATACATATCAATACATATCAATAAGCAGGGCATTACTATCGAAGTGTGCCTTCTATTGAAATTTCCCACCATTTTCCCATTATTTTTTTTCTTGAAAATTCACATAGCTTTAGAAAAAAAAATGTAAAAAGTCCATACTTCGTTGCAAAAAGATCGAAAGGAGTGATTATAAAAAATGAAGGGATCGATTCGCCAGAATCGATCGAAATCTGAGAAATGAAAAAATTACTTTCGCCGAGTAACTAAAAATACTTACTTGACTTGACTCTCCGCGAATTGCACTGAGTTGAGAAAAAAATGATAATTTGTTAACAGTCGATGCACTGGAGCACCCCAAAGACCAAGGACAGGATGCTACCAGATGCAAGTGGTCCAGGTGGATCTCCAGGTCACGTGAGAGGACAGCCATCGGCGAATGCACACCGACGTGCCTCAGAAGGTGGTGCCAACATCCATTATGGTGCACGTCGTGATGTCAATTGGGATTCGCAGGCGTCCAGCGAGGTTGTCAACAAATTTCGCAACTACGAGATCTAAAAGACGCATTTGACGGTTTGATTCACAATCAGGCGAGTTGGTCCCCTCTATTTTCCTCGAAAAATTCAAAGCCCACGTAAATGACCGCTCGTGACGGGATAGAAGCAATTCGATATATGAGGAAATTCATTTCATTGATGCATTACCCCGAGAAGATGGAAAAATACATAATCACTTTCTTGGATGTCGAATTAAGGAGATTAACGTGATGTTTAAGCTGGGGTTTAACAGAGTTAGTAGGACGGTGTGTACTCGTTGTATTATTAAAAAGTTTAAAGAAAGTTATATGAATATATCACGATATTTATCTGTAAATCGAGTGAAGCAGGCGTAATCTCTAGGAAGAGCGCATGGAGGGCTACATTGAATATTTTTCCAGGGGTGTCTTGTTATCGTGCATGTGGCCCCATTATTTTTTTTTCTCCTCGGTTGAGGAAAATACCGTCTCTTCGAGATGGTTGACTCGAAGGAGGAGAAAATGTCCTGAGGCTATAATCCAATCCCAATGGCTACGGCCTCTCAGCTTTTTCAATATTCATCCGGTGGTTTCGTTCTGTTTCCATTCGCTAGTGAATCTTTTAAAAACCCGGGGACCTACCCTTTTTGGTTTTGAGATCCTTTCTTTTCGTTTGTCAATGATAACCATTGGTGATCGGTTTTAATCTTTCCGGTTGAGTTCTGCTCTTGCAATTTTTAGTATTCAATCGTCCGGAGTGGCTTTTAGAATTTTTTGTGGAATTGTTTGAAAAATATCACGTTCTTTCCATTTCCATTCGGTTGTCAATATTTTCGAATCCTAGAGAATCACCTTTATTAATTAATTTAATTAATTAATATTCCGAGTAAAACCTGAGTTTTAATTATCGTCATGAAAATCGAACATTAAATTCGATCTGACTTCCAATAACTTGGGAATAAAAAATAATAATCACCAGAATTCTTTACGATTTTCTCTTCCTTCCGTCAGACAGACTCGGACATAATTTCATAATTTCTCATTTTTTAATAAAATTATGAGTAAGAAAAATTCCAATTTGAATATCGAGGGTTGTTCCATTGGAATTCTAAAAGAAATTGTTTAATAGTGTAGACTCTTGAGGGGGATTTGACTCCCAATTAAAGAGATTCTTCCAACTCGAAATAACGAGCGGATTTCTTAGGTATGACCTGGTCTCCTGGGTGTCCGGAGACAGCCTACTTACCCCATGAAAATATTCAATATATCTCCCCCCATATACGTCGTATTGAAACGCATCCTATTGTCGTATTCCATTCGGGGCCACCTGGTAATACCTCTTTTCCCACTGTGAAACTTTGTCGATAGAAACTCCTCGCCGGTTGAGGGGTTCCATGCACATCCCACCTGAATGGAGACATTTACATGTACACGGATGATATGTACACAAACAAAGACAATTGTCTACCCCCAGGAAGTGATGCCAAGCGGTAAAAGCGCCAATAAAAGAAAATGCTGGCTTTAAAAGAAATGAAAAAAACATTTCCCTTTGGATTCACCCATTTTATCATTTTCCTCGGCTATTTTGGCACGCGTTCCCATGATCACTAACACTGAAAAAAATTGTCCCTTTCATATACAATAGATTCCTGTTATAGTCGCGTCCATGGCTGTGGGGAAATGAATTGCACTGAGAGAAAAATTTTCTTTTCGCACTCGTTACGAAATGTACTATTTTCAGTGTACCCCTATCACGTGGTGACTCGCTTTAATCGTAAAATGAACTTTTGCATAATAAATTCGAATACGATATAAATGATTTATTTTTCGACTGTATTCTGCTCGGAATTAAATTCGTGACCGATGCGACTATAATGGGATTCTGCTGTACCTACTTGGGAGAAGTATTTAGTCGTTCAATTTTCATCATATTAATTATTATCGTTACTCTCGTGATGCTCTAAATAATTGATTTTTCAGGGTTGCACGTTTTTTCAGTTTCATTGATAAATATCATTGCTCTAGAACTTTTAATAGCACTGTTTTTTTTTATTTATTTACATTGGGAAATGAATGAAAATCAAACAAATTTATGTAACAAATTTTTCTAAGTGTAATGCTATCGTCAATGTTGCAATTATTTCTGTAATGTTTCGCATTTTTTCTGAGAACCCAGAAAGTGCATTGAGTCAATTACCAAGTGATTAATTTGCAGCATTTTTTATAATTACAAAATGATAATTTAAAAAATATACAATCTACGAAATTACGAACAGTTCTGAGTATTTGGCGAATTTAGTGTCAATATTTATTTTAAAATACTCGAGTGACAAAACCAGAGACATTAACTGGAACATTGATGATAGCAAACTGTCAATTGCACTGGTCTTCCTGATATAAACCCATATCCCAAGGAAATGAAACAATTTAAGTCGGGATAGCTGAAGTCAGATTGCCAGTGTCGATTTTACCTCGAGATTGAATCGTCCAAAAGGGTATTTCCATGGAAATGCTTCAACTCTCATTGAATAGTGAATATAACATATCCCTGTGTGAAGAGAATTTCATGAATACCCGAGAATAAAGGAGACAGAATAAAAATCCTCAAGCGCATTATTACAGCTCGATGAATTCAATTAATTTCCCATGGGATTCAGCTCATATCACAAATGAACTTTCAAGTAAAAAAAAAATTAATCCAATCCACTCAACTCATTTCTTACTGAGTTTAATTACTCAATGCGACTTTTGTCCGGGGAATTCTCTTCATTGAATGACGATCCTGAAGTGTAATATGCCTCCTGTCTCTATAAATGTATTTTTGTAGGAAAACGTCAGGATGAAAATGATAAAAAAATAAATAAACAATGTACAATGCATATATTTAACGAACTGGGTGAGGGTAGCTTGGATCTGTGGCATATTCCGTGATTAGATGTTGAAGCTTATCTCATATAAACCATTTAGAGGAATTGAGTGGACTGAGGAAGGGGTGTTCTCCAAATCTGATGATCTGGTGTTGAAAATTATATTTTTCGTAATATGAAAATGTCATTCGTCTCCAGGATATTTTCTCGTGGAATGAATGGCTTTTGGGGTAATATTCGCCTTTCTCGGGGGCTCGAGGAGCGATAAATTCCCGAAATAAATAGACCATTAAAAAAATTCAGGGGATAATTATCCTGTGTTTCACCCACGTAACTCTTGGTTCAGATAATCTCGCTCGAGTTAAATTATTCATGTGCAATATAATTGGCGCGATCTAACGTATCCCTCTGCATCTTCCAACACCCCCAACCACATGTATCCAACATTGAACAATGAATGTGTTTAAATAAAAAAATAAAAATATGATGTGAAGTGTGTGAAGATTTTATCCTTCTGTGCCAATTTTTCAAGTGCGCTATTAATAACGCGGGTGCATTCAACTGATTTAATTGTATTTTTTTGCCAGTGGGATATTGATTTTGCGGGGAGGAGGGGGCGGGGTTGGATTGGGGGGTGGATGGGAGTTGAAATCGATAGAATAGGGTAGGAAGGGTTAATGGCAAGTGTAGGAGATCCATTCCGAAATTCAGCGATAACCTGCGAACGTTTCTGGTGACCAGCCTGTTGCTTGCTGATTGGGAATTGGGGCGAGCCATTGTTTTGCGCTTGGGTTGGGGCTTGTTTGTGAATATATTCGCGATGGGAGTTCATCTCGTTGCCTCTGGACAGTATTTGTAGTTGAAAATTTATGGCATTTAGATTGTTCTTGTTTTTTTTTATCAATTTAGATCGAAAATTCCCAATTTAAAGCGGAAATGATCAGGGACTTTTTTGTAGTCCATCGAAGTGCCGACGAAAAAGTTCGTTTCATGTTTCCTCGTAAAATATATATATACATTTTTTAGATGAATCAATATTTTACAAAAACTTTAAAACCAACTTTATGAGGTTTCATAGTTTCGCTGGTGAATTCCCGTGGAGTTGCTGCATATGAGTTTCTTGGGTCAATAATTCTGATGGAATTATATGAAGATCAGCATTAAATTTTTGGACTTGCATAATTATCCCAGGATAATTTATTCTAAAAAATAATTTACTAATATTCTGTGTTTTGCTACCTGTAAAGAATAGACTGAGAAAACAATTACTCATCCTAAATCGATTTACTCGGCAAAAATAATGAAAAAAAAATGCATAAAATGGAATATTAAAAAAAATATAATAAAAAAAATGTATAAATGAAATATTAAAAAAAATACATATTACTCAATAGCTTTTGGTGTGAATATTCTGAAAATAAAAAAAAACTAAAAAATTTACAAGTTCCTTTTTTCCGTCGGTGCCTGTGCTTGCGAGATACAAATAACGTTCTAAAAGCTTAAGTCCATAAGTCTAACCAAGAGATTATGATCTGATGAAGATCCGCTTTTTCCTGACATTTCATCGTATCTTCACCCCAGGCTCTCGATAATCTCTGTATAAAACAAGATTTTACGGCGTGAGTGGGAGGCGACTCGAGGGTGGAGTCACCCTGAAAGATAGGTTGTCAGAGTATTCGTCGACATCGCTCAATAACACTCTCAAGGTACCCAGTACAGGCTTGACCTATAACCGAGTCCGTCACCTTTTAGTCGAGTTTTTCGTAGCTGCACGTAAGCCCCAGCAGCCAGGCGATTCTTCAACGATTTTCCTTTGCTTGCATTAGATAATTAGGAAAAGCGCTGATTCCGTGTTTTATTTTTTTAACAAACAAGAGGAAACATAACTGAATGCTTTCAGTTCTTCCTAATGAACTGATTCGATAAATCTTGGAGATTCAAGCTTCAGCTGGTTGCCATGGACGTTTGAGATTGCAATATTGTTCACCTCGAAAAATCTTTCAACTCGAAAAATCATTCTCCAGTGGATACCATAACAGGTAATTTTTTCAGTCATATGTGGAATATTATGCATTGAAATTGTAAGGTAGGGGAGAAACCATGCACACCATATACCTTTGACCGCTCCTCATTATGCAGTCGCTTTCATGTAAGCATTAGTGCTCGCCATCGTATGCTACCAGGAAGGATCGGTACCCGAATATTCGTAAAGGAACGATCAATGGAAGGTGGTCTTCAGCAGAGAGGCTTCCAAGCAGGTGTGGTCATGTATTAGCTACAAACGTAATGCATGTTCGGTCAATGTGGATCAATGGCAACACATGAGACTGATGTACTGCAGTTTAGCAACTGTTCTTAGTCATGTTGTACTCGAGAATTAACTCAATATTGAAGTGGTAAAACCCGATAGCTCCAATTTTATCGTATAGTACACAATATTGTGAAAAATGATTAAATTGAATAATCACATTGTGTATGATAAAAAATGGAAAAGTTTATGAATATTCAGTGATATCTAAATGAACTTCTATACATAATTGTTTATTTTTGATATTCGATTCTACCTGGAAAATTCTTCTAAAGGCTCAATAACGCAAAATACGCAAAATATTGCTAAATATCAATTAATCTCAAACACTGCGCATTCTAGGTGGAAATTTCATCTGTCATAAAGAAGATCCGTCAAGATTTTTTCATTGCATCCGCACTCACGTCTCATTGCAAATTCTACAGAACACAAATTACGGATGTTTGAGCAACAGGGAGACGAGACGAGATGAATTCTATATAGTTATCACTAGATTACTATTTCGAGATTGTTAAAATTTTCACGATTTTTATTCACTTTCATGGAGTACAGAAATTGAAATGCAGTTTTCATTGAATTTATCGTTGAATTGTTTATTTTCAGTTATGAAATGCCTGACCATTCCTGTGGACCTGTCACTTATTGGAAATCTTTACTCATTAGTTATTATAAATTGTACTTGACGGGAACACAAAAGTATAATTTCGAAATTGCATTCGAAAGTCGAAAGAACTTTGAATGCCAAACTTAAATGTTCGATAGAAAATTACCATAATTTTTAAATAAATGAATGAATGAATTTTCAAATTTGAGAATATATTCACCTGCATTTGCCTAATGTTTACTAATTTTAATAAAATAATTGAATTGACATTTTACAAATTTCCGGCGAATTTTGAACAAACGAATCCATCCGTCGATCTCCACGATTAGAAAGACTCATTCATGAAGAATTCAATCAAATAAATTGGACAAGCTCAATTAAATTAAAAACAACAAAAAATTATTTCAAGATCATTTAATTTTCACAAATAAAATTGTAAAAAGATTCTGTAGTCACTTAGTACATCTTTGGGAAGCTATAGACAATTCTCGTGTAATTAAGTTCAGTTAATGTTATTTATCCAACCATAAAAGGGAAAGTGGAGTGAAATATTTCCACGGCGGAGAGTTCGAGTGATATCCAATTCCCTTTAACCCAAAATCTTTGATCACCCTTCTGAGAGAATTGCAAAACGGGTCACATGGAAATCAGATTTTTTTAATACTCAGAGAATTATCTTGATTAAAAAAAGGAATGAAAGTGATTAAAATCATTGATAAAAATAAGCTTTCGCCTATGAATCGGTACATTAATTGCTACGAAATTCAGTATTTAATTGTTTTATTTCTAGCTATATGAAGTACTTGATCTATTCGTGGTTTTCCATCTCTCACTTCGTATTACGTTTATATTGATCACAATATGATGATTTATTCATTCAAATCTTAACAATTATCGAAGCCCATCACTCGTCGTCGAAAATTTCTAATAAGAATCATTACAATAATATTTTATAGTACAAAATGATATTTTCCCTCATTGAGTTGAGTCAAAACTCCTGTCACGAATTCACCTCTTCAAATAGAGTCATATTTAACTGGTGAATTAACTTGGAAAATGTGACATGAACGAGGTCGATATTTCGACGATATACTATTACAATATGAGCCAGGAGCACGCATTCCTCAGTGGTAAAAGAAGTTATAAACCTTCAATGACTTTGTTTTAATGATTCACTCCAGTTCGTTACTTTTTTCAGCCCTGTATTGGTAATCCTCGATAATCGCACATCTTCTGAGAACTGGCAATGCGATTGATTCGATATCTCAGTATCTACCGAGGTCGACGTCGGGGGGTTGATTTTCTAGGGTGCAAGGCCTTAAGAATTCTTGTCCACGCTCATGCAGCCACTTGTTCGCCACTGAAATCATAATTCCATTCTTAATAACAGAAGAAATCACACGGGATTTTTTTACACAGCACATGCTCAAAGAATTTCCACTTTTCTCTTATCATGAGAATTATCGATATAGTAGAATCCCGTTACAGTCGCTCTCGTTTTATCACCACAATACTACCTCCGGGCTCCAAGATGTAAACAATCCATTGTTTCGTCCGGCGAGGAATCGAATTCCGAGGAAAATAAAGCCGAAAAATAAATTTCTCTCCGAATCGAATTTGCTATGAAAAAAATTAAGTTTACGATCGAACCGAGCGCATGATAGGGCTAGTTGCAATCGAATTCTCCGATTTCGATTGCTCTACAGTTCCATGCACGTGACTATAACGGGAGTCTACTGTATTTTATTCATCACAATTTCTTTTTCCCGTTTTATAATCCACTCCATCCATTCAAATCGATGGATTAATATGTCTGAGAAGAGAAAGAGCAGTTTATTGCGTCATCAACTATTAAATTTTTTTAGACTATGATATGGGAATAATTGAGGACATCTGTTTACCCCATTTGGATCCAGTGAGTACTGGACATGCTGCATGTCTGCTCCTGTAATCACCCTCGCCATTGGGTTTCAAATTATACCAGAACGCAGCAGCTCCCTTTTTCGGCCATAGTGATATGTTTATTGATGTGAAAACTGTTCCACCCCCTTGCTCGACGTCACTCATCTGGAATTAAAAAGTGAATATTAAAATATTACGCACATATACACTGAATTGCTCAAAATATAAACAGCTCTGTTATTTTTCTGTAACTACAATGAATAATTGCATAATCTGAACATTAACAGCCGAGTCGTTAAGATTGTTTTGTCAGCGAAAAGTCTGCGAGATAATTAGTTCCATGTGAATTATTACTATACATTCACCTCTTCAATCTGTCCATTGTCCTTCCCTTTATTCGCTTTAAAGTCATAATTTTAAATTTTAAATATGAATTGAATAAAAAAAAAATGGAAAAAAAATTGGGCGAACGTTGGAAAGATTATAAAACCAAGCCTTAATGAAGAATAACTCGAGAATTTCCTAGAGCAGAATAACAATTTAACGGTTTAATATCAAAATTGATACTCACGTAATAGAGAACCGTGGCAATACGATTACCAGTGCCTAGGCTCTTAAATGCATTAGTCTCCTCCCTCTGTGAAGAAAACGTGAAGAAAAAACAGGGAATGAAATAAGTAATTTGATGAAGCCATGATTGGTAGGTGGCAATCGATAATTCAAGAAATTGCTCACCCTGGCAAAGTCAAAGTGGGGCTCGTAATGACCTCCGATGCCATAATTGACCACCTGAAGGTCCTCGGCTGTGTCCACAGTCATACTGGTCATATGCTCCACCCTTCTACTCACTGCTTGCACGTGCTTGTGTTCGTACTCCTGCAGCCAAGCACTTTTACTTATTCGATAGTTGGCTATTTCCAGTTCGCCGGTCTTGTAATTCTGCACTGTAGCACGTTTGAACTAGGATAATATCAATTTCACGGGTTTAATTAGTCTTCAACCACTAATTATCATTTTGCGTGATAAAATAACGATTTCTTTGACACCACGATTTATCTTGATGAGGAGATGAACTCCACTAGTTCTTTTCAATTATTGAAATTTTTTATATTACTTTCAATATTGATTCATTGAAAATTGGTTTATTCTGTCACATAAAGTTTTTTCACATTTGATTCTACCCTCAGGGAGCTATATCCCCTGGACCTTCGCCAGTGAAAACACATGGCATGTATTCTGATTGTATATAAAATAAATTTCGTTTTATTCCTATTTCGGCCGGGTTGGTACACAAAAGAAAATAACTTGCTATCGGTCAATTTTTCCTATACACAGTTACTAATTATTTTTTGACTTTTCCATTTTTAGGTGAAAGAACGTGAGATTTTTGCCAGTGAAAAATTCGCATGAAATGGATTTGTAGCTTTTGACAGAAAAATTAGTTCTTTTGTACAAATCGACAAAATGAAAATGAAAAGTGAAAAAATTGCGCAATCAGTTTTTGAAATAATTCTGGGGGAGGAAATGTATGGAAAATATATGTAAAATGGCGATGACTAAGAAATCGTAATATTGTCAGTTTATTTGTTTAATAATTATAGTGTACCCACTCTTGGTTGAGCCATTCGCTTGATGGTTTCGATCTCATCGTCGTAAATAACGTCGTGGTAGATGACGATACGAGGATCGAGGTAGGCCTCTTCCTCTTTGAATGGTGCAATCTTCAGGAATGGAATTCCACGATCGGTATATCGACACTTTAATTGTTTTTGTATCTGGGGGGAAAGAGGTACCTCCTCTCGGCACAACATCTCGTACCTCTCACGCTCTGTCATATCCTCCAGGGCTTTCATTTTCTTTTCCACAATAGTAAACTGTACAAATTCAATTATCAATAATGAATGTGTGCTGCTTTTTACAAAAACCGTTTTTTATTACCCACTTTGTTAATTGTTCTACGAATTTTCCCCCACACTCAGACAGTTCACGGTTTCGCGCCAGTGCTCAAAAATATTTTTCAACTATTCAAAATGAAGAATAAACATAAAAATTTCGTTAAAAAATAATCATCTCGTAAAAATTACTAACAAAATTACTCCTGAAGAATGAAATCGGGAAAGGCAATTTCTTTTCTCTAAAAATATTTTCTTACGTTAATTTTTCAAGATGAATAAAATAAAACGAGAAAAGGAATTTTTATTGTAAAATTCAGCTAGCCTGGAAGGCTATTCTGCGGAACGATCTAAGCAGCCTCAGAATCATGAGATTTGTTAATAATCAATAAATTCAATGAACCCGGTAGGACCCCATGAGCACTCGTTATAACGTGAACCCCTAATGAAACCGAGAGGCAATTACCTGGCTAGTGACCGGCATATCGTTCTTGCCGTCCTCGCCGAGTTTCCTCTGACCCTGGCTCTTGAGTATTTCTTCCTGATAATACGCCCGATTGCCCAAGGCCCTCTGATGACTCGGCACCAACTCAAGAAGCTCATTCGTCATGCTCAAGGCACGTGCAACGTTACCTGAAATCACAAGTACCCACTATTTACCGAATGATAAGCAAACCCACTGTTGGACAGCTTCTAGACCCCCATGTGGCTGAATAAACAAACAAATTGAATTACGAAGTTAAAGTTCCCGACAAGTTGCCCCAGGCTAAGGGAAAACCAAAACAAGAATAAACTTTCCCATTGTGTATGGAGTCAATAAATATTTCGTGTGCAGAAAAACGTCGAGGGAGGAAAACTCTAAGACTGAACTATTGAAAAATGGAAGCAACAATTTATAATGTATCTCGAAGAAGTGGTTGAAGTGAGAGCGCACTTCTAGGAGAGTTTACAAGGTATTTTCTCAACCAAAGAAAAGACTCTCCTCTTTTCTATCTCCCAGGAGGATTTCATGGGATCCGGTGTGAGCCGGCAAATCCCTCCCCAGTCGAGACGCAGATCGAAAATCCGGGGAATATCCTGAGATTAAAATCCCTCAAAAATAAGGGAAAAAAAGTGTAAGCGAAAGTTTTTTTTACGAACCTTGCATGTAAGTGGAATATGCCAGGTACTCGAGAACATCAGGTTTGCTTGTGGTGGTTCTATTCTGCTCGTCTTGGAGACGATTCATGGCTTCCTGCATCCACAGCACTGTGTGGTAGTAGTCGCCGTTGTTGTAGGACTGGCGACCGAGCTCGAAGCAGTCTCCAGCTGAAGAAAATTCCATCAATTCGTTGGTTATTTGACAAGCAATTGAATCGTTCACGTTTATCTTCATATTAATGAGTTTTTAATTAATATCTGTGAAATTTCGTTATCTGAATTACCCTAGCCCTTTTTAAGCTCAGAGATATTAGAATTAGGTGCTTCACCGTTTTCAATAGCTTTTCAAATTATTAGCTAGTTTTCAGTGAATTTCTTGACATTTCAGGCAGATTGCACAATTTGTACAATTACCGTTTTTATAAAACTGAATTAGCTCTTCAAAAAAATTTATTATCGAAATTGCGATACTTTCCGGGGATTTACAGATATTCATTGAGAACGGGATGCGTATTATGGATTAAATTTGTCAACAGAATTGAATATTCAAGTAACCATAGAATGAACCAACGAATTTAATCTTCTGATGATTGAGTAATTAAAATTGAAACCAGTATTAAGGGGTATCAGGAATTAATGCCAGACAAATTCAATTTGTTAAGCCCTCATTAAATAAATCATAATTTCTTTCACATGAAATCGATTCCTCGTGGTATTCTGATTATAAAATAATTAATTACGATTCCAAGTTCTAAATTTAGTTCACAAATTAATAATCCATAAATAATGAATAAAAACACTTGGGAATAAAAAATGGAAAGTTGACAGTTATGAATTTTGCAATATGAATAAATTTCATTTGAAATTTTACTAAACCAATGATAAGAGATAAAATGAAGCAGCAGTTTTAACGGGATGAATTTAATGATCGCCTGAAGTGATTAGAGGATATATGATTTCTCTTTGATTTCAGTATGCACCATGAATTAAATATTCACAGCGACAGGTGAAGAAGATAAACGGTGCATTCGCGCGTCTCGCGTTTGACAGTCATAAGCGGATTGAGCAGTATAAAACAAATATCCTGAGGCCATCAACACGAGAAAACGACTGACGTAACACAAAACAGATATTCCCCGCATTTATTCTGAAATAAACTACCATAAATCATCTCCCTGCATCCCCGTGCGACCAGAATCCCTTCCTACGAATGAGAAAGTCGGTTTTGTTCGTTAATTAACTTTGCGTTCTCCATTCCCCTGGACGGTATACCCGTCAGCTCACCCTTTTATTATCCCCCAGGAAAAAAAGACAAAGTCTAAAAAAATATGGAATAGAAAAAAAGGGGCTAGAAAAAAAAATACTCTTGTAGCGCGATTTTTTATCCTCTTCTGTGCATTTTTTCTAGCTTTTTTTTTCATTTTTACTTTGCTTTATGGGGAGAATATGCGTGGGTGCTAATATAGTGTAGCACTATGTGTTGAATCTCGACGGGATTTTGGATAGCAGAGGATTTTATATATAGGGTGGATACTGCCTTGGGGGAAAAAAATGATACATCATGCTCTGAGTATTTTCAACCGCGATATATGTAAATATTGTTTTGGTGAATAAAAACGGAATTTTATGTCAGCAGAGCTGCGAGAAGGGATTTGAATCTGTGAATTTGTTTTATTTTTAGTTGAGTTGTGAAGCTGTGGAGGAAGATGAGTACACTTGGCTCTTCGGGGTATTTTTCGCGAATTTATTCTAGATGATGATGATGATTGAGGGGGATGATGAAATTGTGGTTATTTGATATGTATTATATAATTAATTCAATAATATTTATTAATTTATTTACTGGTTATAATATAATATCAATTATTATTGCTCAAAAATATTGCACTAATTTTTTTACAGTAAAATATCAGCAAAAATTAGTTACGGATTTTCTATAGATTTTCCAGAAAACTTACGATGGGGTTGACGTGAAAAAGTATATCGTGTCATCAATCATTAAATAATGATAGAACGCGAAAACCTTTTGTTATGTCAATCCCATTGATAATTAACCAGAAAGATGAAAAGAGGTGAATTTCGGCTAAAAGGGTATCGAAAATGTTTAATAAGTGTGTACTGACCACTCAAACCTGTGCTATACTGCACTCCATTGAGTACTCCCCGGGCTACATGGGATGTATCAAGTTTGTAGGTATCCTGGAGTCTCATGAGTGCTACAGCAGCTCCGTTGAGATCTTCATCAGTAGGAAATTTGAGATTATTCCGCGAACTGGTGATGTTTGACACAAATGCTTTGCCAACATCCTCAGTGATCAGTTCTTCCACCCGTTTCCAGTCAGTGGTTAATCGTTTCACCAGCAAATATGCATTTATTGGGTTAGACAAGTACTGCTGGATGTTGCGAGAGGCCTCCTCGTGCTCTCGAGCATAATCTTCGACATTTCTGAGGAATAAACAGTTCTCATTAATTTAAACCGATTAATTCCGTGCAATCATCCGGGTGGTGGATACTGCAATCCTTCAAGACTCATTTTTCCAATTTCAGTCGTATATATCACTTCGCATTGGTTTTTCCAATTGCTAGTAACTATTGTAATGAGTAATAATTGTTAGTGTTATCATTTTGAAAATTTGATAAAATTTGGAGATTTCCAATTGCAGTGAATATGATGGCGGGGGGCTTTGGGTGGAAGGGGGGTGTTTTGACGGGGGGGGCTTGGGGTGATTTCCGTGTTCCCGTGGTTCTTTTATAAAAATCATAATTTTAATAATGAATCTAGCGTTATGATGAGGCAATACACTTGACCCTTCCCCATTCGAAATTCAACTTGAATAAAAAATGAACGAAGCACTCGCCGGAACTGGCAGACGTTCATTAAATTCTAATCAATTACCTCGATTGTCAGAATAAAATTCCACTGCATCCTCTTTCTTGCCCTTTCCATCATAAAATAAACAAATACAATGAGAAATTGAATTTAATAAATGAAGACTCTTCCATCCACTCCGGAAAACGCATCGTTGAAATATATTGGATACGTCGAATAACATGAGAAATAAAAAGAAATATATCCCGCAGAATGGTTGGGATTCCCTTGGAAACGGTTTGTGTACATTTAGCTCCGATTCTCCCAAGGATTTCATACAAAAAACGGAGTGAATCCCTTCCTGAAAGGATTTACGGGAAGAAAAAAATGTTGAGAAAAATAAACGAGGGGGATACCTACGGATTGTGAGACGAGATTTGGTGGTCGACAGAGTGGAATGAAGATAGATAATAACCCAAGTTCAATAGAGAATGCAGTGGTTCTAATTAAGATAGTACCCCCCACCTAGTGAACCCTCGAAACGTTCATCGTTTCAATGGATCAGATTGAACAAGTTCAATAATTCAATTACTTAAAGTACATGACTGGGTGAAAAATCCGTTGATTATTCGATTTTTCAGGGGTGGCGGTCTTATCAAATGCCTTTTCTTAACGTCCCCAGGAGTCTTATCGGTGAAGGGGATGCTGGTGGCTATGGCCCACCATAAATGAGAGGATACTCAACACCACTGCTCCGTTCTCATTGTTCTCTATTCCCCAGTGCTAGCAATATCCGATTTCCTACCGAAATGCACGTTATTCGTCGAGATAGAACCACTCTACGATTATCTCTCCTCGTTTCTCGTTTTTGTTCTCTGAAATACCGAGGGGAAAATATGTTCTGGCAGGACTCACAAACTGTCAGAGGTCTTCACCATTCCTCTGACATGTACCTTCTCTGCATTCAATTAATTCTGTTACTTCATTACTGTCAACCCAAATTTTCATGTTAATGACTCAACCAATTTCGTCATTGTAATTCTTCAGTGAATAATTCCGGGATTTTTTTCCAATTTCCATCTTGTCTCATTAATTTTTTATTTTTCATCTGATTTTTGCGAGAATTCATAAGGATCAATACGAAAATTGAAAATTTTACGTAATAAAAATTGACGGAGGTTGAACAATTGGAAAATCGAGTAAATTGGGAAATTATCTTCAATTTTTTTTTACAAAACCATTGAATTTCCTTAAATATTTTTGAAAACTGGGGAATGTACGAAATTACGTGAACATTCCGAAACGTAAACAGCAAAATTTCCGATTCGAAAAATCGCGATATCACGACTTAAACTTTCTTAATCATATCTGAACTCAAATTCCATAATTATTGAATATTTCTCTGCGCATAATTGTCGCTGAATTTTTCTCTCCCCACAAAAACCTCGCAATTTTTTGGCTCCATTTTTCCGCACCCTTACTCTCACGTAAATTACAGAAGTTTCTGCGAGTTGGTGTTGCCCGTTTTTTGTTGGGGAATCCCGGGCAAAGGGCAGCCCTCGGAAGGTACGTTGTAGCTAGTGTAGCTTGTGAAAAAAGGATTTGCCACCGGGCGATAAAAAAGAAATGAGGGAGAGATGCGATGGCTGTCAGATGCCAGCAGCTGTAGATGTGGGCGCTTGCGCAGAGGCGATGGTGAGGTGCGCCGACGCCCGAGATGCCGAGCCCGAGGAATGGCTAGTGTGGCGTGGGGCAAACGGATCCACTTCCATCTCCTCCAGAGGCCATTCCTCGCGTCGGAAAAATACTACCCGGAAAAGTGTCACCAGCCAGCAAGTTGCGTGTTTATTAAACTCCTAACCTCAAATCAGCATAATGAAGAAACGTTTAAAGCCGGTATAGTGGTGCCTGAGGTATCGCATACATCGGGAAATAATCGAGTGTCAGTGAAGTGCTAGTCGGCATTCGAATAGGCGTGAACGCTTTTGCGATTGTCGCAATGGCCGACGTACGTCTGGTTAACACCGACGCTGAGCCAGAGCACCCAGAGGAGGCCTGCGAGGAAAATCAAATATCGGTATTTCACCCGGGTGATTATCTCCGACGAGTTGTACGGGATTGGATGCGTTCGCGGGATCCCCAATCGGTAATAACCGACATGGTCCCAACCAACGTAACCATCGATGTAAACACAGATTTGAATCTACGTATTGGTGCCCAGAGAAGCCACTGTACATGGACATGGATCTTCGAGGTACGTTGTATAGGACGTCCATTGAAAAATATTGTTCTGTCATTGGACGCACATCGCGAATGCTTTGGCATCAGATATGTACTTCGCGAGGGTATAAGAGCCGGTTATACTCACAGCCAAGAATGGCATGATCCTGTGCCCGATCACTCAATTCAAATCGATCGAATCACATGTTACACCGTCGAAGTGGCATTTGCCGCGAATGGACATGGAACTTATCGTCAAAATGTGCTTTTTGGTTTCGATGGTTATCCTGTTGTTCGGCGAAAAATATGCGCTGATATCGTGCCGGTTGGTGATCTACCGCGTTTGACAGATGCTACCAAGTATTTTATCAATCAAACTGCTCACGTGTGGTCGTCCAGAAACAACGATTATCATCGGTTTGATTCACCTTTTGTACCCGCACCTGATCCATGGGAGAAGAATCTCGCTAAGGCGTATCCATATCCTGGGGAGGATGTCTTTATACTCTCACATGCCACCCTCACTGAGGACTCTTTGACGCGTACTAATTATCGGGGTAGAATGCACGAGTTGATATCCGTTGAGGAATTAGCAAGGCATGAGCAAGTCGCTAGGTATAATACTATTGTGCAGATACAGCTGTCCTCCTGTTATATTTTGTCGTCTGATACTGATGGATCGACTACCGCAAAATACGCACCACTTGGAGAACTTTTCGCCCAGGTCTGCATTCACATTGTTTATATACTTTTTTTTCTCTTCATTCACTGGTACTCATTTATTTTCATCAAGAAAATTCAATCTGAGCGAGAGAGTAAAAACAAGTTGTCATGACTTTTTTTCTAGAGATAATTGACAACTATAAAAAAGTTATTACAAAAATTTTACCATCTCTGGTGTTACGTCCGGACCCAAGAGCATTTTTCCTTGTTAAAGTCTTTCCATAAATTCGTATAGTTTACGTTACGTCTACATTTCAATTGATTATTGTGGTCTTTGTGCGAGATGTTACGTAATCAAAGTTCTAAGGAGAGAATTCTGGTTTTAATGCAAACAACGTGATATTAGAGAATATTTTCTCATGTCAAGTAAACATTTTTGGAAAGTATTTTTTTCTCACAATCTATACTTGGATTGGGGGGAGAGGGGGGGATATATACCGTTGTTGCAACTTTAAAAATTGCGAATTAGCCAATTCCTGAGGAATTGGAAAATTCATGCTGCGTAATCAACGATTGTACCTCAGGTTTTGCTTTTTTTTTTTGGGATGGAGTAGTTGCCTTTAGGTCGTGGGGTCTCGGAGGATATGAAGAGTGGTCGTCTACTGTTGCGTGGATGCAATACTATTCTTATGAAGCTATTCAATTCACCGGATAATCCGATAAATCCAGAAGCAACGTATGTCCATGAGGCCCATGTTGAGGACAAATGTAATTACATGATATACGCTAGACTCTCGAAATCGTGTGTCGAACGTTTAAATTTAAAACCCGACACAACTGTGAAGATGTATGTGCAGTTTGTTCTTAACAGACTGCCATTCTGCGAGTGGCACAGAGCTGTCGATTGTCTGCCAGACACGAGACTTGTTTTTCCAGAATCACATTATGAATTACCAATGTGTTTACCATCCGTCCTTGAGTCTAACAAAAATGGGGCTAAATGGTGTGAACTGCTGGATAATAGATTGAACGATAGACAGAGAGAGGCCGTTAAATTGATGATAGCACCGATTGAAATATATTTACCACCGATATTATTGCTCGGTCCATACGGAACAGGCAAAACATTCACCATTGCCCAAGCACTGTTGATACTTCTCCTCCAGAATCCCATGAATAAAGTATTGCTCTGCACCCAGAGCAATAGTGCAGCTGATCTTTACGTCAAAGAGTTTTTTGACGAGTGGTACACGACCACAAAGGAGGAAAGGCTGAAGCCAATGAGAATATACTACAAGAGACGATTGAGAACAACAGTAAGCAACACTCATGATCCATCAACCAGGACAATTCATACGATCTAATCTCCACTTACTTTCATTGCAGGTTCATTCCACTGTTCGTAAATACTGCCTAGTTGATCCCAATGGCTACTTTCGTGATCCCACAAAGGAGGATCTCGACTCCTGTGGATTAATTGTTACAACTTTAGCAACTTCTGGTTGCTTAACAGCTCTAGACGTTCAACCCACTCATATTGTCATCGATGAAGCAGCTCAGGCCCTCGAGTGCGAAGCACTAACACCCTTGGCCCTGGTCGGTCAGAGAACTCGAATTATTCTCTCTGGTGATCAGATGCAACTTGCACCGGAAGTTTACAGCGATTTGGCTAAAGAGCGGGGTCTTGGTACGAGTTTACTCGAAAGACTTCACAATTTGTACTCGCCAAATCATCCGTGCAGAGTTAGCCTCTGCCAGAATTATCGATCACATGCTGATATCGTCAGACTAACGTCGAATCTTTTTTACGGCAATGAAATTGAACCCAGCGGCCCGTTACTGCCTAATCATCCTAATTTGAAGCCTTTGTTGTTTTATGCTGTGCAGGGGATTGAAGTACAGGTGAGAAATGCATTATACTTTTTTATTAATTATCTTGTTTATTCTCAAATAAAATTTGCTCATGGATGTCCAAGTCGCGTTCGAACCTTTATGAAGTTAGATTCAAATTTTAAACACAAATGTAGGAGAGGGGATGGAGATTAGACTAGAGTTGTTTTGAAGAAGAAGGCTAGGAGAACTCAATATTTTGAATGTAACGTATTGTTTTCTTTTATTTTCCAGGGCCAATTCTCTACAGGCTTTTACAATGACGAGGAAGCAGTTGAGCTGGCTAAAAGAATAGCTTCCCTGAAGTCCTGTTGGCCAGTAGATGAGTGGGGCCCATTCGGTGAAGACTCAATTGGCGTATTGGCTCATTACTCCGAGCAAGTGGCACGCATTCGCAATGAGCTGCGTAAACGAAAGTTATTCTCAATATCAGTGGAACGTGTATTGAACGTTCAGGGAAAACAATTCACAGCGGTATTTATCAGTACAGTGAGAACGCGAAATTGCTGCAGATATTCAGCTGAGAGTAGTGTAAGTGATTACGGATTTCTGACAAATCCAAGACTCCTGAATACAGCTATAACACGTGCTAAAGCACTTGTGGCTGTTGTTGGTGATCCAGTGGCACTTCTGACAACTGGATCGTGTCGGTCGTTGTGGGGAAAGTATTTTCAAACGGCCACGGTAAGGGGAATACCCCACCAGCTTTTGACACAACACGTGACACGTAGTATGGCACCGCCGATGCCACTTGGAATGCCACTGAATCCACTGGCCAGGGAGTTTGTACCCAGACAGGCGCAACGAGCTGACTGAGCAGTTTATCATTTTACTGAGTTATTTCGAGGGGATGAATTCAGTATCGAGGGAATAAACAGTAACATTTCCATTCGGCTAAATAGTCTTCGTGAGTTTTTTTGGAAGTATTTTTGAATCTAAAAGAAATACAGAAATTTTCGTACTATCAGTTTAACAGCTCTCTTTGCGAACTGCAAGGAAGGCCCTGAGAACAATTCCAATTTTTCGCTTGGGTTCAGAGATATAACACGAGAATTCAACTAGGAGACATGTCGACTTACTACTCTTTATCTTTTTGATACTGAATTAATGTTGGAAGAATTTCTGAACAAATACACCTATTGAATAGTTTTGTGATCAAGATTGTGTTGCTTCCGGGGTTTTATGAATAATTGTGTTGCAGAGTATATTGTGAGCAGGATTGTGGGGGATCCCAGTGGGAAATTAATTTACTCAGTTCTCTGGTGTTTTTTCCCCATCCCTGACATCTCGAGGATACAAAATCGACTTGACACAAGTCGGTGTAATTTTTATATATGTACTGAAGAGAAAAATATGAAAAAATGAGAAAAAAATGTGTAGTTGATTAGGATGTATGAGAGAATGGAGTAATGTAAATGTCACATCTATTCGATGAAATATCTATATGTCTGAAACATTAGCACCTGGGTTTTTGGTCAATTTTTTTCATCCACCCATCCCTCGTCGGCGTAACGAATCGCTCCGGTGAATTTGCAGGCGAATGAAATGTTAAAAAAAAGAAGGGCAGGATACAGGGAGGGTTTTCGGATAAAAACAACAATGCCTGGTGGGTGTTCAATATGCGGGATAGAGTGGTAAGCAACGTGTGGTTTACCGGCCAGACCCGACTCGTTTGCCTTTCCACTCGTGATTTTTTTTTCTGTCGAGCTTCCAATAACGCTTCGTGTTTGCACTCGTGGCGAAGGATAGAGAGTGGAAACGCTTCGGGGCGTCCTTTTTTTATAGTTTTCCTCGAGTTTTTAGACAAGGAAAATTACACCGGACACCTCGAGAAAATTGGTCAAGTATTTTCGGGATAGAGCGCGTGTTGATGTTCTAGGGAATTTTTTCTCATTTTAAGGGGAAAGTTAGGGTTTGGGGGGAGGGGGAGTGAAGAGACTTGAGAAATTTTGAATGATAGTAAAAGTCCAATGAATTGTCACATTTTTAGATTTGAATTCAATTCCCAATGAAAACTGGCATGTTCAATATCAAATTACGCGGAATATCCAATTTAGATTTTGAGTGCCCGTTTCTTTGAATGGTTGATCAATGCAAAATAGAGGAAAGAAATACACTATGATACAGTTGAATGACGTTATAAGCGCACCTTTCCTTAATATCTCTTTTCGCGTATCTTTCGGTTGCCCCATTCTACTACCTCCGGGCTCCAAGATGTAAAGAATCCATTGTATCGTTGGATAGGGATTGAATTCCGCGCAAAATAAACTGAAAACTAAATCATTTCTCTCGTTTTGGAATTTGCTATGAAAAAATTTAATTTACGGTCACAGCAAGCGCGAGGTGGGGGTAGTTGCATACTTTCTTGAAACATTTATCGTACAAAATTTCATAATACCCGTGAAAAAAGAATTCTCCGCGCAAGAAAGTGCTCTTTTTAGCGCTTGTATCATAAAAAATATTTTGGCCCTTGCAAAGATCAGGTCTCTGGTGCTCTCGTAAAAAAAAACAATCCTTCATTTTTATATTCTACTTCTCTGGCAGTTTTATTACGATAATCAATCGTTGGTTGATGAAAAAATCCGATGTGGAGAAAACTTTCGCTTCCTCCATAAATCCTAAATCAGTGTCATAGACCAACTAGTAAAATTCCTGAATTATCGTTCAATTAAAAATAACAGTAATTCAGTAACTAATGTTCAAACTTCCCGAGAGTCCAAGAAAATTTTTCGTTTTACTCAAACCTTCGGGAATGATTTCTCACCCCTCGAGTCCAGCACTCCCCCGAGAAGGGAAAATCAAAGAATCCCTCTGAAGTACCATGGCTTTTTTTTCACTTGCGCACCATAAAACCCGAATGAAGCCATTCCGAGGATTCGATTGGCTATCTTTCAAACAATGATCCAGTAGGACTGAGCCCGATTAAATCATAAAATCCCCTGATTCCCAATGATGCAAACCCAACGGGTTTAATTGTATCAACGTGAAGCGTGCAGGGGATATACATGGTGAATGATAGATAGAGGTGGTAGAGCCTACGTCACCAGCAGATAAGCTGATGCCACGATCTGGTATCCAATAGGATCACCCTCCCTCCACCCCCTGGGTTGTTACCCTGGGCAAGTGGTACACCAGCGAGGTTTCATGTGTGTGGTACCTAGCTGACGCTGCCTGCGTCCACAAAGATACGCCGGACTGCACCTGGGTAAACACAAATACGTGACGACTATCGGGATTCCCCTCTCACCCCGTAACAACCCACCGCCTTTTCTCTCGTTTTGTCCTCTGGTACATGGACCGCCGATAAATTACAAATTCAACTACCTCTTCCCCCTCCATATTTCGAAAATTGCATGGGGAACTAGGGGAGGAGCAATATATGAGCACGTCTCCTAATTAGTCACGCGCTTTCGGCCACATTGTCAGAGACACACGTATCCAGTAATTGACGCTTCAATGGGTTGTACAGCTCGTTCATCGAGTCATTATCCTTCATTATAACCCCATCGCACAGTACTTTTTTTTTTTACTCTCGTACGTAACATTGGGGTTTTTTTTTCTCGTTGCACCGAGGTCTCTATGGCTTTCCGTACACTGAACAATTATCGAATTTTTATTCGAAAGTAATGGCTCTTCGGGCTTTTTTTTCACTCCAGTGGGAAAAAACGAGCTCGATGAATTTTCAATGGTACTTTTATTTTTCGGTGTTCGGGGGGTGCTATGGGTTTTTGCTGAACTCGTGGGTTTTCAGGGCTGGAAGCATGGAATATTGAGAGTTGAGGGAACAACTGGGGGATCATTGATTAGTAACAGAAGGACGTATGGGATAGGAAAATGTTTTCGAGGGTTTAAACGTGATAAATAAAAAGATTGTATTGATTATCGATTCATTATCGATTCCATTTACTATAAAAGATGCCATCATTTTTTTGCACTTAAAATAAATAGTTTTTCAGATCGATTAATATTGAACAAAACTGTAAAACTCGATTGACCTCTCTTTGCTTCTAATTGCTGAAATTTAATAGCTCAAACTTTGAGACTGTGAAGTACGGTTGATACAAGAAAGTAAAAAGGTAGTCTCATATACTTAAAACAGAAAATGAATATATAGAACGCGGATACTCTAATGCAATGCAGATACGACATTATTTTTACTCCTGAAAATGCAAAGGATGAGATGTTGAAGGAGCTGTTTTTTTAAAAAATGAGCTCTTGAGACCGCATACATTCAGAATGCAAATGTACTTTACATCTCTTACGGTTCTAAACACACGTATATACTAGAACTACCAGGTGTACAGAAGAGGAGTGAGAGGAGACGGGGATTCTCAGAGAAATGGAATTCAAAGCTACAATATATTCCAGTGCGATTTAACTTCACGCATTCAGATTTTTCTAGACTTACAAAATTATTCAATCCTTTTTTCTTGGTTTGCAACGAAACTACGGGTGAACACGATAAATCAATGGGAGGACTTCCTGCCGAGTTTTACAATTACACCGCAGAGGAAACCGAAGGGGAGTTAAAAATTCCATTTTTATAGGGGTGGATTTTCAATAGTTTAGGAATTCGTCGATAAATCTGGTGAGCGCATTCAATTGCACTTGGGGAGATAAAAAAATTCACTGCATGTCGGAGAAATCCCACCACATCTACATTACATGGAAAACATATTTTTCCGGCAATCGAGGAACTAGGGGTCTATTACTTATACGGCTTTGGTGAAAGTGCTCGGTGGAATTAGAAGATGGATATTTATGCATTGTTTGGTGATTTTATGGGGGGCTCATGAGGATAAATGGCCGGAGAATTCTGCGAGCATTGCAGTCAGTAAAGTTTCCACTAATTCATTTTTTTTTTTACTTGGAGAGGCCGAAGTTATAATTGCTGGTGCTTCGATGAGTTAAAGCGGAGAGATCCGTAATGACTAGTGGGATAATGAGCAAATTCTCCGTGTCGTTATATTTTTTAATTAAAAATTTGCATTCAGTCGGAAAATTATTTTACGCCATCATTGTCGGGCTGTTGGGGGTTACGTTCTGATCTTTTTTTAACTCCAGTTCTTTTATCGTCGTTATTAGGGTTTAGTGGGACAAATTTTGCGGTATTTTCGGATGAGATTTTTAATGGTAGGAATTTTAAAAAGATTAAATTAAACGAATTAAATTGAGTTTCAAGAATATAATAATGAGTGGTTAGTCATTACCCTAAAATCCCCTCCGATCTTTATCCTGTATGAGTTAACTTGAAATTTCAGTATGAATTCCGTAACAGCAAATTGGTCTGTCCCATTGGCGTTAAATCTTGATGGTATATTTTCAGCGTGGATAGAAAGCTGGAGCCCTCGGGATCGTCGAAAACCCCCGATGGCCATATCGCGATGCAAAATAGTACAATCAAATGGCCGCAATTATCTCAGCTCCTGGCGATGAATAGACGCATCATACAGAGCTATACCGCGGAAAGGGATAAGTTGGGCCTCTCGATTATTACGTTCCAGTGGAAACTACGTGCCTCGTTTTCTACATGGTTTCGCCACTGGCAATATAATCGGTCCCTTCACCCTTTGCAGAAGGAAAACGGTGGGTATATTCTGTGGATGGAGGAAGCAAACCGGGACTACACGAATTTCATCGCAGCATACCAAGCAATCGAAAGGACTTCCCCTATTATGCATTAAATGTCGTAGCACGGGGGTGTCGCCCAAACCCTTTGCCGGAAGTTCCAAGTTGAATTCCAGGCAATACAGCTTTGCACCAAGTGCACACACAACCTCCAGGAGGTTTTGCCACCGAACCCTATCCGAACCCCATCCGATCGCCTATTCGGTAACTTTCAATGGCCGTCTATTTCAGACTTTCACCCAAACTCTTCTCAGCTTACACAGCTCCACCATGTCCTTCCAAACCATACTCTCTTTCCGATAGCTATGAGAATATCCTCTAACGATCGAATCAATGCACCAACCAAACTTTTACCCTCCATTCAGGCCCTTTCATTCAATCTTTTTCAATACTTTGCAGTCAAAATGACGCTCGGGGCTGGCACTGTCGCTTTATTATCGCTTTTTTTTATTTTCATTTGTTCGTGTTCGGTAATTAATTCCGCTTGAGGAAGGCGGAAAATGGGATAAGCCGATTTTCTTTGATGGTTTTCAGCGAATATATTGGAGCTGAAGCCGATTTATGATATTTTCAAACACTCAAGTGGAAGGACTTGAATTTTTTACAGTTAAATATACTGGAGTGATATTCTGGAACTATTCATTAAGAATTGGTTAATTTCTAAAATTTTTAATCTGTTGAAAATGAAGAATAATTGATATTCATTAATTAATAGGATTTGATGTTCAGTTCTCGCGATGAGTCTGACAAGTTCAAGCTTTCATTGAAAAATCGATAGTATATAATAGAAGTAAAGGTAAAAATGCCATAGTATACTGTCCTATGCTCATGTAATTTTTATTATTCAATTCTCCCCATGTTCTACACTGTTGGAAAAATACACTCGAAATTCCAAATAAAAAAAATGGAAATTGAACAAAGAGCAAGTGACATGAAATGCCTGCAGAATTTTTTATTGACGAATCGATGAATTTTTTGAATATTCCAGTAATTTAACAATTAAACATTTAACACGAAAAAATCAATTTCCCATATTTTCAGGATAAACGATAAATCCAGTGGCCATTTTGAATTAAAAGTCCATGCAAACTCGCACAATGGCGCAATAAATCAGATGAATTTGCGAATTCGCGACTGAAATATGAAGAAATTTATAACCGTGTAGAGTGATTGATAAGACGTTATTCAAAGAGTGAGATATTTAGAAACACTGCAAAATTGGATATATTAATGACATATCAATATCCCGAGGCTATCAAAAATATTGGAGAGCAATCCATTATTTACCGATGTTTTCACGAGCCGGGGGATCCCCTGGGAGTATTGAAATGTACTGTCCGATTGGATGTTGCGTCAAACGTTGGAATTTGTTTCAGCGTACGGTAGAAACGGGATTTATTCAAATATTGGTGATTATTCTTTTCTGTATTTCGAGGTGAGCGGCCGGTTCGGTGGATTTTCATTCATTAACATGATTTACAACGTTATGATTGATTGGTTCCATTTATTGATGATTACCATTGATGTAATGAATGGAGTCTGATGGTGAGATTAATTTGTTCGAGGCGTTGACTATTTTTTGTTCAATTGATTCACTCGGGGATTAAGAAGATAGTGAAATGAAGGTAAAACAGTAATTACCTCCTTAATGTTTCCAATCTCTGGTTCTGGGCTTTAATGTAACCATGAAGTGTGTCAATGAGGACCGACTCGGTCTCAAGTAGCTCTTCCATGTCAGCTAGAGCTGTGTAGAGCTCACCACTAACGACTGGCATAAGGACCCCGAGTCCTGTCGTAAACAGCACCAACATTCCCGCAAACGACGGCATTGTGTCCTCCTTGGACAACACACTGCCACCAGCTACTCGGATTTACTCTGTTATTGAAATCTGCAATTAGACGAGATGACAGAGTTATTTAAACAAACTGCATACCAAGTTTAATTAAAAAAGTAGAAAACGGCGGATAGACCCTACATTAGGCCAACACTCCTATCACATTTTCATGATATCGTTTAACTTTTGTGCGGATAACTCCGCTGATGACTCATTATTATAATTTTTCTTTTTCATCAAATTTTCTCGAGTGCGGGGATGAAAATTTTTGCGGAAAATTCCGAGGACAGATAGGGAGAAGATCCTCGAAACAATGGCTAGAGACTAATTGTAGTCGGGCAACGGAATTTTGTTCATGTTTAATTTTAATAATTTAAAAATTTTTATCCCTTTTCGCGCACCAAAATTTATGTAACGAAAAATGATAAAACAAATAATAATAATAATCCAATTACAAAATATCGCGGTTTTGTATAAATTTTTCAATGGGAGAACTCCATTGTAAGAATACAAAAATCAAATCGAAAATTGTTGTCATTGTTCCGCGCTGACGATTTCCGTGAGTTGGCAGTAAAAGAAAAACGGATAAAATGATGTCGAACAGATCATTGGCAGTTACAACGTCTCGTACTTCTCCAATTACCAATCGGAGGATATGACCCACACATTTACGAGGCATTTAACATTTCCTGGACGATGCCCCGTGATCTCCACGTATTACAGTCCCATGCATCCCCGCCAAAAAGTTTTACAACATTCAAGACACCATCGCTGTGTACTTGTACAGAGTGTGTGCACTGGAGTACATGAAACGGGTGAAAGCGGATAGGAAATACCTCGGCATTTCCCAAACCCTCGTTCCCTCCCAGGGAAAACTTCCTGGAAGACGTATATATAGCTGGTAGAAGGGATGAAAAGGTTTTGGACGATAGTGAGGCTGTACCTCATCCCCTGGAGTCCACCCCATGTCTCCCCATTCCCTTCACCATTCTTTAACCAACGAGGAAGACTTAAACTTTGTAAGCCGTTTCTTTTAGCGGAAAACGTACGGAGGCTAGGTACCCTCTCACCCTCCCACCTCCATGGCTCGTGGTTCGTTGCAAATTAAGGAAAAATTCCTGTAATCGAGTTTCCAGAAGTGTCGACCTAACACCAGTCTCTCGGTGGAATGAGGAAGCTTTTTAGAGTTAAGGTTAGGGTTAAACGTAGGTAAAAAATGGCCACTTCCTCGCTGCGGGAAAACTACCCTTGCATTTGGGGAGAAAGTTTTTAGGTGGGACTAAAGTTCTTGGGATAATGGAAATGGTACGATGACCCTTGGTGACCTGAGTAATTACGGACTTTTGGATGTATGAATGTTTTGGTTGATTGGCTCTCGCTTGGACTATGGTTGAGCCTCTTTAGTTGTATCTCTGAGTTTCGCATATGGAGAGATCCGGGATTAATTATACCTTCGAGTACAGAACCCCTTTGTTCGATCTGGCAACAGGAGTTGGGAAAAAGTTGGGGATTAGTTTTGCTTGGGAGCGGAGTTATGAAAGTTGGACATAATTTCTGTAGGTGATTAGAAATTTTCGTGTGACTCTGGAAAAATTGGGATCACGGGGAATAATGGAGGGGCTTACTTTGCAAGAGTAGATTATTCGGTGTCATTTAAGCTAGAGAATAATTCAGGAAAATTAATCCCATATAGAGTTTTTTATTTTCTGCCATTCAATTATCGTTTTGGTTTGTTATAGAACAAGTACTTAAATTGGGACTAAATATTTTATAGATTTAGATATCTTATATAGGCTGGGTTTAGTTGTATGGAATAAATATTTGAAATAATGTCAATATTATGCATAATTCAATTAAAATAATTCCGAATGAATATGATGTTTTTATAATTTTTTCTCATGGAATTTTCACACGGAGAAAAATAATTTTTCCAACGGAATTGCTCTACTTGCTCCAACTACATGTATACAAATATTTACATTTGAAATGTGGGGATTTACTTGTAGTTAGTGAATTAACTTGGCAAAAGTAATTTTTCTTCTCGGAATAATCCAACGAGTCAAGGGTAAGGTAGTCCGACCGGAGGGTAAGAGAATCTTTCTCATGTCTTCAATTTCTTCAGGTCTCAATTTCATAAAATAATGAATAAAAAAAAAAGATATTTAATTAGAAACCTCTGAGATACCAGAGACCCTATCGCCCGTTGAAAGTTTCCATTACTCACCGGGGAAAATTCCATGGCACCTTTCAATATCCAGAAAACCGCGGAATCCCACAATGAAAAGCTTTCCAAGACATCCCCTAAAATCCGCCGCATATTGCCGTTCCCAAGCCCGAAAGAATGATCTCTTCTTAAAAACCTCAACCGATAGAATGCCGCCAGTATCCAAGAGCTGTAATCTCTGCTATTACATCCAAAAATATTAATATTTGCAAAATTCAATTCCGCAATACTAAATAATGAAATTTTTTCATGTTGCTCAAGTTCGTAGAAGATGCTGGGGTAAAACGGACACCTATTAAAAATCCCATTCTCATTTTTAAACATTAATCAATGTTTAAACAAATTCAAAATAAATATCAATATTCATATATATATATATATCTCAGTGTTATACATATATATATAACTTTTTCGGATTAAAATTGTTTTCCCAATTTTCTAAGATATTTTCCATGTATATTGTAATATATTCATCAATAGTATATTATACTACAAGGGCAGAAAGTAGAATTTCGTCGAAATTACGGACTGATTGCATGTGTGCATTGAAAGATATATTGACGGTTGTCCCGATTAGCGGTACGTACGAAGCCGAGTCACATCATGATTCATTTAAAAAGGAAAAGCCAAAAAAATGCCCATCACTCTCGGCGGAAAATTTCCTGACACCTTTCAATATTGAGAAAAGCGGAGAATCCCGCAATGAAAAGCTCCGCAAGACATCCCCTAAAATCCCCCGCATATTGACGTTCCCAAGCCCGAAAGAATCCATTCTTATAAACCTCAACCGGTGGAATGCCGGCGGTATCCCCAGAGCCGTAATCTGTGCTATCGCGGCCAAAAAACGAGCGTGTTCAGCAAGATGATCGTCAAAGAACGCGCCGGGAGCATTTAAGCCCCCCCCCCAACTCCATGTTCAGCAAGGCTAAAGAGGACTAGGTACATAACTCTGTGCAGCAAGTAGATGCGGGATGTATGCCGAGCATAAATAGGTGGACGGGTGGTGAGGGGTGAACCGGGGGTTAACCCCTCTCATCATCCCTTCACAGTGTTCACCAGGGTCCTCCAACGCACTCCTCTAAGCCCCAACACCCTCAGCCCCCCTAGATTCTCCATAGGGAGCCACGGTAGCCCCTTTTAACTCATTCCCCTGTACTAAGAATGGTTAATCGCGTTGGCACGAGCTCGCCTTTTCTCCCTCTATCCTCCTGCATGCTTGTGCCAGTGAGGCACCTATTCTTTAAGGTGGCGCTTAATTAGCGCCGCTTCCAAGAGCTTCCGGACCCTCTTTTTTACTTTCCGGCTTTTCTCCCCCCAACCTCTCCTCATCCCTCCTTTTCTCCCCACCTCTCCATCCTCTTTTCCCTTTTTTCCTGTTCCTCTCTTTCTCACCCCCTCACTCTTCCCGGTTTCCCTTTGCTTTTTTCACTGCTATTGTACCAGCAATGTTGCTCGGTATGAGGCAAAAAAGTTAAGACTGAAAAAAAATTTAATCGAAACCTGTTATTTCTTTATTTTTTTTTTTTCTGCACTTTCATTAAAATTTCTAATGAGTCGAAATAATTCACCGCTGCTATTCTCCAGGTGATGAGGGATTATTGGCCTGGTAGGGTCCACGGATCTGGTGGGGGGAGGGGGGTGGGGGGCTATGCAGAGAATAAAGAATACCCGGTTCAAGGGAAAATCTGTTTTTTTGTGGAAACTCCGTGGTTCGAGAATCTAATGGTCGCGGGTAAGAGGATTTCTCCGGTTTTTACTTGTTTTGGGGATTTTTTTCTGGGATACGGGGAACAATTATTTGTGGCGAATTAATATTCTTGAGACATAACTAATTAAGGGAAATCTCGGGATGAAATTCACGTTTAAATTCTTGTCTCAAGCAGTTGGTTGGGCACTAGTGAATTTAATTGGCAGACACAATTGTGCTCGGTGTCAAGGAAGAGAGAATAATTGTTTCGGATTTCTACATCGGATTCAGGAAAATTTGAATAATTCTCGAGGAATTCTGTTTTAGCTGCAAGCATTTTTCTGCGGTGAGAAAAAATTATTCGGCAACCTAAACACAAAATATAATTTAGTCAACTGAAAATTTAAAATCCGTGATATTTTTCTATCAAGTGTAATTCTCACGTGTCATGCACTATTGGGTAATGAAATAAAAGGGGCGGAAGTGCTCGTTTAGAATTTTTTTGAGAGCGTGTACGGGTGATTTTTATCGGAGAAAAAAAGAGTTTTTTTGTATACCGTTGTTTTATCTGGCGTTTTGCAAATTGGATGTAACTGGAGAAATATTTAGCGATGCGGGATGAACGTACGAGCGGAATATATTGGGAAAACTGATGAGTGCGAGATGAAATTTAATGAATGCTGGAAATATCCCAATCAGAGGAATTTGAAGCCTCCCGGACTATTGTTTGAGAATACACTCGCCTGTTTTTTTTTGGATATCTTTGTTTAAATAACCGCATGCACCGGTATAATAATGGCCTTCTACTACAGGTTTTGCGAAATGGATTTCATGGAATTTAATAACTGATTTTTATATCTCGCGCGTTCAATCCATTGCCTCTAAAAATGTTTGAGAGAAACTTCCGGCAAATATTTTCTACATTTCGAGCATTTTTTTATTTATTCTACATTTTTTTTTTAATGAATATTTCTATTCAAATTTGCATAAAAATTCATTCGCATTTTCAATCCCATATTTTACGAGTTTGAATCTCGTAATTAACTATTTTTATTTATCAATGTCCATTTTGAATTTTAACGTCACATATATGTCACCTATAATTACTCGCATAAATATTTATTTTTTTTTGGAATTCGGTGT